CTCTCAACTTCATATTAGTATCTGCCTGTAGGTGTACGAGTGTAGAATGAATGTTGAGAAACAACACCCCCACCCCTGCACACACACACACCACGGCTGAAAAAATATATCACTGAGTGATTCATTCATGCAGAAATATTGAACTGATTTGTGTGAATAACCTCCAAAATAAACAGAATGTTGCTTTGGGTTAATCAGTTTTGAGGCCTATTCAATCTGACAGTGTGCATGTTTGTGGGTGTGTGTGTGTGTGGGTATGTGAGAAAGTTTCGTAGCCATGATACTATCACAATAACAGAGACATTTTTAGCAATATCACCATGTTTAAACAGCATGCCAATTAGAATAATAATAATAAAATATTTCTGTTCGAAACGACCAAACATTTGCGTGGAAAATAAAATAACAACAATGATAAAAAAAGGAATCATTGAACCTTGAAAAATACATGGTACACAGTAGATGAGTACATTTCCTAAAATATTGTTTAAATAACAATAATATGAGCATTACATATATATGTATATATGTTTGTATGCAGCCGGATTTGAGATTCTATGGTTAAAAGAGTAAATTGAGAAACTTCTATTTCAAATATTATATTGTAGATGGTGTTTAGCAATAAGGGCATCCAGTCAGGAAGTACATTTCGTCCTTTCTTGGGACTAGTCATCTAATAGATGCACTTGCAATCCCCATTGAGATTGATGGTGTTGCCACAAGATGCGCCGGTGGCATAGTGGTTAGGATGCTCGCCGACCATGCACATGGTCCGGGGTTCGATCCCCTGCCGACTCGCATCCAATATCTATGGTCGGTCTGCAACATTTGGGCTACCGATATCACATGCTGAAAATTCTATACTTGTACCAAAAATACTGTGTGATTTCAAGCTATAACCAAAATAATAAAAAAAAATCCAGCACCCACAGTTTCAAACACAAAGGCGCCATTGTTTGTGCATTTATCGTCGACTGATTATACTGAACCGTAATGTTCGGTCTCTGCTAACTTACCTGGCGCCGGGTTCAGGTTGATCAATAGTCCCCTGACGCCGGATGGAGGCTCACCATTGCACCTTGGTGGGTTGAAACTCGCGGCGGACCCTAATCGAGTGACCTAAGGCGTGTAGTTACTGTGCGTCAGTGGCACAGTGGTTAGGATGCTCGCCGACCATCCACATGCTCCGGGGTTCGATCCCTGGCCGACGCCTACCTGATATCAATGGCCAGGCTGCTAAATTTGGCTTACCGATATCACATGCTGAAAATTCCATAGTTGTACCAAAAATACTGTACGGAATCAAGCTATAATAAAAAAACAAACATGTGAGCTTCTTGTAACGTGAGCTCAGCTGATGTCTGAGGAATCGTTTTTATTTATTCCTTTGCGTTCCGAGTGGAACATATGGCATCCAGCTCTGAACTGGGAAATTTCAGTAGCAGTGTAGTTGCCAGCCTCAAGCCCAACCTTCTCTTATTACTGAGGTTACTACCAGTTAAGAGTGAGGGTTACGAGTGCGTCGGCTGGGATTCAGACTGCGGGCCACATGAATGACTGATGAATATTCTACCGCTAAACCACCGACGTAGAAGATGTGATGTCATTTTAATTGATGGTTGATAAGATGAAATGTGTATCCTGGGTCCCACTATTAGTCATCACCCATCAAATAACCTTATGTGTTATTCGTCAGACATAGTAACAGAGTCCGTACTGACAGTTGTCATATCAACAGAAGCGGAATATTTAACTTCAGTCAATCAAAGGGGGGAAAATAACAATTAGTTTGAAATAAATAATCTGTTTATAATGATAAGAAACAGGAGGTAAGAGAAGATGAAACCACATCTTGTGTTTATTATTACATGTCAAGTTAGAGCGGGAAATTACATCCACTCAGAGATGCGAAAATCACTCAAACCAGTAAAAATGGCAAAATTCATTACAAACTCCATTAAAAAAAACCTATCAACAAATAAACTAACTGAACGTCACTCACAAGTTCAGCCTATAATATGATATTTAATTCAATTTGGATTTTCCCGTTGATTGATTGGACAGAAGTGTTCGGTATTAGGCTGACTTGTGCGGATGATACGACGATGTTTGGTCATTTAACTCGAAGTATTTTGGTGGATGTGGACTAGCAGTGGACTATCCAGGATGTGCATTTAGTCCCATCTGGTTGGGAGTCATCAGCTTGTGAATGTAACGGCGTTCCCAAGTGAGTGAAGGTGTTCGGACACAGTATCCATCGTTTCAACCTTCAAAGCGTTATCCAATAAACCACTTGTCAGCATGTCAACAGACGCCAAGCACTTCAGTCCAATCAATCAACCGGAAAGTCCAAAATGAATGTTTTTGATTTTTGATAAAAGCTTGATTCCACACAATTTGTTTTGATACAAGTATAGAATTTTCAGCATTTGATATCTGTAGCCCAAATTTTTTAGGTCGACCAATGAAATCAGGTGTGCGTAGGCCAGGGATCGAACCCCGGACCATGTGCATGGTCGGCGAGTGTCCTAACCGCTGTGCCATAGACGCATACAATAAAGGGAGGACCGTTAGGCCTTCACACTGACAAAACTACACGCTCGAGCACATCCGATTAGGGTCCGTTGCGAGTTTCAACCCACTGAGGTGCAATGATGAGCCTCCACCTGGGGTCAGAGCATTCTTGATCACCCTGACACCTGTTGCACAAGAGGAGACTCTCGTGGGCCACGGAATGTCTAGTGGATAATGCTTTGGCTTTTGGAACGATGGGTACTGGGTTCGAGCTTGAGTGCGAACACCATCATTCCCTGGATGGAGGAATGCAGTTACATTGACCAGTTGACGACTCCCACCCATCCTGGATTCTAATGCAAGTTACCATCAACCAAATTAATGTCAGTCAGATTTATTTATTTTATTTTTTATTTGTTTTATTTTGATTTACAGCTTGATTCCACACCGTATTTTCAGTACAAGTGTGGAATTTTCAGCATGTGATATCGGTAGCCCAAATTCAGGCCGACCATAGATATCGGGTGTGCGCAGGCAGGGCATCGAACCCCGGACCATGTGCATGGTCGGCGAGAGTCCTAACCACTGTGCCACCGACGCACAGAAAACTTATCAGGAAGTGAATATTTCATCGGGAGTTTCTTGTATCTATCGTTTTTATTGAGGAAACCACATATATTCCTTGAGAAAGCTGAACATCGCTATGCTATTCTAGGTATCAGAAGCAAAATGTGGTTTCTTAAAATTCACTGATCAAAATCAATATTGATAAAATAAATTTTTACAGAGAAAGCGTCAACATAACAAATGAACTTAGACTCGTTGAAGGATAGACTTGAAAGTTTATTTGTTACCTAACAAAGTATTTTAGGTATAACTAAGTGTTGATACAAGTGTCTGGCAGAAGAGGCTGACAGAGAAGATAGGAATTCAAGTGGTAATCAAGAAGACAGAGATAATCAACATACGTAACGAACAACAGTAACAAGCAGCAATCACTATCAGTGGAAGAAATTTGAACCAGGTCACTTATCTCACTTTGTAACAACAGAAGACAAGGGCCAGGCAACAGAACGTTTATTACGGAAAATCAACACATATTTATAGATTTTGACGTACATCATTGTAGGTTAATGTTAGTAGAAAATACCGTCTGTTGATTGGTTGTTTCTCACACAAAGTTAACCTTGCATCTTTTGTGGCTGTGTCAGTTCTGTATCCACCTGTCCATCTTGACCTTGACCTCAATTACTGTCAACCAATTTGGCTAGCAACCATTTTTCGCCACAACATGACTCATATTTGATACATTAACATTGACCTCAATTACTGCCAACCACTTGGCTAGTAGACAGCTCTCACCACAACTTACGTAGGCAGTATCGTCTCAACTACAGGCGTCCGACACCGATGAGGATCAGAAAGTAAGCAAAACAGACCTTCATCACTCTGAAATCGGTAGTGTAAATTTATGAACTTGGCGTAAAAAATACATTTCGGAATTTGAACACCGACCTTAAGTCATTCAGTGCTTCTCTATGGGTCAGTAACTTGGCGTTAGCGTCACAAAAAAGCACTCCTAACAAACCGCTGCAGACTTCTGTCAACAACAGCTTTCTTGTGCAATGGGTCATATTAATTATGTAATTCAATTTTAGATTTTCCCATCGACTGATTGACCGGACCGAAGTGCTCGGTCTCAGGTTGATATGTCGGCTTCTTGTGCAGATGCTTCGACGATGTCTGGGTATGAAATTAGAATCGGTTCAATCAACCGACGGGAAAATCTAAAATTCAATTAAATAATTCAAATATAACCCGTTGAACAAGAGGTGGCTCTCATGGCCCAAGTGGTCTAGTGGATAACGCTTTGGCGTTTGAAACTATGGGCACTGGGTTTCGAGCCTCTGTGGAAACATCATCACTCACTGGGGAATGCAGGTACATCCAGTGGCTGGCGAGTCCCAAATAAGATGAAATTCGTATCCTGGATTCCACTGCTAGTCACCGTCCACCAATTAAACTGCTTTCTCTTGCTCTGTGCTGAGGATCAGATGGCAGACCAGAAAGAATCAGGAAAAACAACAGTCAAGAACCTATTGATCAACAAATATTCCGAAAAAATAGACATAGACACTGAGAAGACCGTCAAGTGATATTATGAACTAAGCCATCACTCAAGCGGAATCCGAACTGGTAGTGACGAATTGGACATAAGTCCGAGAATGAAGTGGAGCGGATCGTGTGAAGAGGAAATCAATGCTTATGGGCAATCAAGAAACCAGATAAAGAGGAATATAGAAGACAGGGTCGAGTGAAATGGTACTTCTGAAGCCCTATGTTCCACTCGGAATTTAGGGGAATAAAAATAATGGGTACTTTATTATCGTGTGATGTATCATATAAGTACATTTAATATGAAATTACCTGTATATCAACTTCAAATAATATTTCTTCTCATTTTTTCTACATTTTCTCTTCAACAGGTTGACGCAGACGAACTGATTCCTGTATGCGGTGTTGGCCGACAGAATACCAGTGTTCTTGGTGCATTTATCTTAGCCCCACAAACTGTATTAATCACACTGGGTGGGATAGCATTTATCTTTGGATTTATCTGTTTATTCCCGTGTTTTCGTCATCGAAAATGTTTCTATTGGCGACAGTTTAAAACAAAACCAGTTAATATGCATACTCCTCCTACTGCTACTGCTACTACTGCTCCTGGACATTGTAGCAATCAACAGTCTTATCCACAGAGTTATTATCCTCTGCATCAACAAAAAGGTCAACAGTCGGAGACAGATCATCAGCTGTCTTCTATGGAGGATTGTGTGAATACAACATCTACACCACAGACAAGATCAAGTTTGAAAAAGGCTAAAACAACAGGTAGATCTCATTGTCAGCCAACTGCCTACATCAATAATCCTTCTGTTCCGCATCAGTCTAATAATAAACAGGTATCTAGTCAACAGTGTTTTTATCAGAATTACAATCATCTGTGTTATGCATCCGGTAGGTCATCTCCATCTCCTGGGGATCCAATGGAATTTCGTATTGGGCTTTTCTGTTTCCTTTACCTTATCCCGCTGATTTGTATGAATGCCTGTGATCTATATGAATATTTATATCGTGATAAATGGTTAACTGCTCCTGGACATACAGCGGCCAACAGTAACTCCAATCGTCGTGGTGCCATCGACAGTAGTAGTAGTCATCCTTCACATAAATCGTATGGGCTAAAATATCCAACTGAGAATGTAAATCTTGCCGCCTACTTGTGGAATGTTGATGAAGTGTACGGTCCAAATCCAGAATTATTCATGCTGCGCATATTTATGTCACTTGTCACAGGATTTACATGCAGTTTATGGATGTGGACTGTTAAAGGTTGCAATTTAAGTCAAGAGTGTTGTTGTTGTTGTCTATGCCTGACAAACAATCATCATCCTTCAGTGCTGAAACAGAAAAAGCAACAAGAAAGTCTCAATTTATCGAAGAGGAATTCCAATCCCCATGGGGGAGTGAAACACAATTATCTCTCCTCTAGTAATGATAATAACGCAATTAATAATGATCCTATGCATAAGCCTACATTCTCAAGAACACCTGAAGGCACAACATATACCTTACATCCATATGCAGTATATCAGTACACAAAATCCTCAGATGGATATAGTCTACAACGTCCTAGTGTTGAAGGACAGTTGGATTTAAGACGTGGCGGCATTGTCGGTTGTAGTAATCCTACAACAACTGGTTGTCCAACTGACATCAATCTGAGCTGTAATCAAAAACCGAACTATCCGACAACATCAATTCTAACCAAAGGTCATTTAAGCCAGCTGGATACAAGTTTTATTCCACGTGATTTAGAACACTCGACAGCAACTACACCCGGTTATTATAGTCATGCTAAGATTAGTCCAAATATGATAATTGATTCAATGAGTGAAGATGCTTCAGCGTCTTCAATCCCTCCACCCCTTCCACCAGCAAATAGCCGACCACCACGTCTACCAGCACGTGGTGATCCATGTATTGGAGCGTCAGCAAGTCAAGTGTTTGCATTCACCAATAAATTGAATACAGAAAAGTTGGACAGCAGCAGTAAGACCTGTCAAAATCATAACAATAATAATAATAACAATAACAGCAGTGAAACTGAAAACTATAGTTTAATCAAATTTCAAGTAACATGAGTTGTAATCACTCATACTTGTATATGTAGGTACTTTTAGAAATGATTCTTCATGACATCTAAATATATATATGTATGTGTATATTTATATATATAGTGTACATAAGTGGAACTTTTCGCTCGTTTCTTTCGTCCTCGGTTGTCTTTCTTGTCATCATTCTTTATCTTCTTCTTCTTCTACTACCTCTTGACTTACCGTCATCCTCCGCCGTCGTCCCACTCCCAATCGGAGTAGTCACACCATTAAACTCATAAAACACTAGTCATGAAAGAATTTCAAGGCATTTATTTATTCACTAAAGAACAGCTCTTCCTCTGTCTTCTTTTTCCATCATGTAACCTCAAGCATTTTATAATATCTAGTTGGGATTAAGTGGGGGGAGGAGGAGGATGAAGGTTTTTTCTACAGAAAGCAGACGGTTTTACAGGGTAAACTAGTAATAAAATGTTATGCAACAGTCGGTGAGGCATATACAATGAATGGTATTCCGTCATCGGGAATAACTAACTATCGATGATACACAACTTCTATTTTATCACGTATTAATTAATAATATGTGCACGTACATATTAGATATATATGTATACGAATAAATGACGGGATGCCGTTGTTTCTTTCAAAATTTCTATTAGCCTCTTCATCATATATGTTGTATTTTGTTTTTTATATTTTACTGTACAAATTCAATGTTCAATGGAGTTGACTTTTTGTTTGTTTGAATTGAATGTTTGAGCTTCTTGTCAATGACCAATAACAGCATTTATTTGTTGAATGAATTCTTTTCAATTCATTTCTGAATGAATGAATGAGATGACAATAGCTGCTAAGACTAGGTGAATTTTCAGATGTACCAGTCCAAGTGTATCTTTATTGATTTTCAAGTGGAGACTGGGACAAAACTGTTTACATGGTTTCGTTGTATTGTGTTTTGCATTGTTTTCTCTTTGAGTACTTTTCTTTCATCTGTTTTCTTTTTGGTTGACCTTAATTTCTTTTTTTTTTTTTGATTGTTTTAACTTTATGTGTAAATGAATAATAGGTGAACAGAAAATGAAAAAGTTTTATTCATGAATGGTCATTCTTGATTTTACACTTAGAGTTTCAGCAGCAATGGTGTGATTGAGTTTAAGCAATGTGGGTGAAAGGGTGGTTGGGTTCACTAGTCTCATGCTCAACCGTCCATCTTTGCCGAGCTTACTATTAACTAACGACATTTGGGCGTACTTTGGCTAGGAATTGAACCTGGTCCGGTTGGGGAAATTTTGACCACCAGAACCACAGACGGTGCATAGAAGAATCAATGTTCCAATATTGATAACATTTTATTTTGATCAATCACACAGTGTTATACAGTAATATTAACCGATGACGTGTCGAGCACAATTTATTGCTCATAATCATATCAAGCAAGGCACTACTCACACAACTAACTAATTGCGGATCGTGAACTTACTCATAGGATAAAACTGCCCGTTGAGGAAATTATTTTAAGAATTCAATTATGCCTCACATCTTTAAATTCCAGGGGAAAATATATTGACAAACAGAAGGTGTAGCAATGGGATCACTAATATACCCTATGGTAGCAGACATTTTTATGGACAGCTGGGAAAATATTGCTCTTAATACATTTAATCCTACTCCAAAAATATGGTGAAGATATGTGGATGACACTTTCAATCACAGTGTAAAATACAGAACATATCTCTAGCTTCTTGACACACATAAACTCACTAGTAGAGGGAATAAATTTCACATTTGAAGCCGAAAATGAACAAGTAGAATTAGCTGTGTTAGGGTGAAAAATAAAACGAATAGAAGAAGGCAAACTACACACTAGCGTTTATCAAAAGCCAACGCATTCTAATAGATATTTAGACTTTAATTCATCTCATCCTTTAACTGTTAAGGCAGGCTTAGTTAAGTGTCTAACAAACCGAGCAGTAGCACTAAGTAGCACAAAAAAAGACCTAAATGATGAAATAAGAGATAGAAGAAGCGTTGGTATTAAATAACTATCCTATAAAATTCATTAGGAAGATCAGAAAAGGCCAAAAGCAAAATAAAAATAATGGTGAAACTAATAATGATAACATAAATAAGAGGGAATATAAGGCATCTACAGGTTTACTATATAAGGAATTAAGAATTAGAGTGGCATTTAAACCTACAAACTCACTCAGGGACAAGCTCTGTAGGTTAAAGGACCCTGTTGACTCAATTAAACAAAATAATATAATTTACAAAATACCTTGAAATGACTGTGAGTTTAACAACATAGGTCGAACTAGTAGGTCGGGGGTAGTCAGATTGTTAGAATATAAGAATTTAGCTAAGGTAAGAATGTTTGACCCCAAGAACATGAGTAATTTAGAAAAAAGCTCAGCACTGCATGCATTAACACACAACCACACAACGGGGTGGGAGAGGGTTAAAATTCTAAAAATTAATGTAGGTAGGTGGAGAGAGAGGATGATTACTGAATCCTGGTTCCTCGAGTCCACACACAACACATGCAATAGAAATGACTCAATGCAAATACCAGAAATATGGAAGATATTATTACCGCCAGTGAAATCAGAGGAGGATAATAAATAATCTCAAAATTCTATTTCAATTCAAGCACATCACAACATGCTGACAAGTTACTTATTTTGACTAGAAAAACACTCGTCTCATTTCCCATCTGATTGTAACTGATCAATAACACTCATATTATTATTATTTCTGAATGTACATTATCCCATGTTGATTTTTACTCAAATATCTAATCAATTCCACACATGTATATAAATGAAGGAAAAACGTTGTGTAAGTAACTTGATATGATTATGAGCAATAATTTGTGCTCGAAATGTCATCAGTTAATATTACTGTATGACTTATCAAAATAAAATCTGATCCATAATGGAGTTGCACTCTACCACAGTGCTCAAGTTGTGTACTTATATCAAGAATCAATGTTTGTCGACGTCGTATTTGCTTACAGGATCTATCAGTACTTCATAGAAGTCGGGGTAACCACAACCCCCCCCACATCGGATTCATATAGGTATATGAAGAAGGCATTAGTTGGAGGAAAATGTAAAGGAAATCATATTCTAGGTGCGTTAGATAAAATGAGAGACTATTAGATAATAGCTTAGAATTGAAGGTAGTGTTTGCAGGATCCTGTGATAAAATTCCAAGCTACACAAACTATTAATAATGGCGATCGGTTCTGGTTATCTTGTGGAAGCTTGAAGTGTTTTACACAGTTCCTTTGGAATATTAAAAGGGCTAACCTTATGTATTACTGACAACTATTGTCATCTATTATTCCTTTGGATTGTGAGTAGAATATCCGGTTTCAGCAGAATATTTCCATCTAATTGTAGTAATAATAATCTGCTTTATTCCAAAAAACAGTACTTGTAATACAGAATGGAATTCTCAGCATTTGTCACAATATTGCATCTGATTTACTCAAAATATAAATAAAATTAACCGCGGGAATTTGTCAACAAATATGGTAGGAATGAAGTCAAAAATGTGTAAAGTACAAAATGAGAATAATAACTATAATAATAATAATAAAAACAGTGGGTTCGTTTCAGACAGTATTGTTGATACAGTTTGGAAATTTTAGCATGTTAGAGAGTATTGAATCTAATGTTCTCTTGATATAGCATGGTGAAAGGAAGAACAACAAGTAACAATTGTTACAGAGCTTAAATGGTGTTTACACTTATGAGAAGATAAACAAAAACAAGAATTTGAGAGGATTATAAATATAAGAAGAACAATAACAATAAAGCCTGGTGGAGTAAAGATGGAGAATATTGTTTATTTACTAGTGCAATAAAGTTTAGTTAGTTAGTTTATGCCTCACACTATTTTCATCACATAAAATACGCGCCAAATATGGTATAGTGGAATTCTTATACCTAGACGTAGGTGGATAAAGTTTTTTGAAAAGACTTCTTGTTCTACCTGAGGAGATGCAGGGTGGAGACTGCGGGAAAAGTGAGTGAGAAAATCCGTTTAGCAAATTTGTTGCATGAAATCAAGTGCCTATCAATGACGATGTCAACGATATGGCCCAATGGGATACTACCACTCGCCCCAGTCACAGTCTTCAGAGTTCTGCGAAGTATAACAAAGTCTTTTTTAAGCATTCCAGGAAAGAATAAGGGTGAACAATGGAGAAGAATGTGCGTCGGTGGCATAGCAGTTAGGACGCTCGCCGACCATGCACATGGTCCGGGGTTCGATCCCCGGCCACCGACGCACTCCTTTACCTCGCTAAGCCAGAAATAATGCTGGTGAAGAGGAAAGGTTGGGCATGAGGCTAGCAACCCCATCCTGTAAAATAAACACTGCTAAAGAAACTTCAAGCCACTAGCTTGAAGCCCTATGTTCCACTGGGGAACGTGAAGGAAAAAAAATAGAGAAGAATTGATAAGATGCAACAGTTGACAAACTGTAAGAGGTGAAGTTGAGTTATCCCCAAGTGCCTTAACTTCCTAATGAAAAAGTCAGACGGAATATTTTATTAGAAATCGCTGAGACGTGGGAAGACAAGGATAGATCAGACGAAAGAACTGAACCAAGATACTTAATGCCCTACTCCACGCAGTCCTCTTCATTTGTCACCATGACTGACCATGCTCTCTCATCTCTTATGCACACCATCTCCTCCACTTCACCCTTGCCCGCCAGCCAAACTTGTTGCTTTCAGCTTGGGTTCCAATTGAGGTTACGTCTGTCGTGCACTATCATCCAATCGTCTCCTCAGAGTGTATCCTATCCATCTCTACTTTCTTCGAAACATTTGCTGAGCAATGGGTTCTTGAATGGATCATCCCCAGAGTTTCTCGTTGCTCATCGTTTCTCGCCAGTCATCTCATCTTCAGTATGGAGTCAGTGAAGGAGTCAGCTGTTGATAAAAGTCTGCAGTAGGTTGTTTGAAATGCTTTTTGTGAGAGGCATGCCAAAGTTTCTGATCGTTACAGAAGAGGATCTGAATTTTGTTCTTTATACTGAGTGCGGAAGATTTCCAAACTGGTTTGATAGTGATGATTGTCTTCGTTTTGACATCCTGATCCCTTCCGTCCTCATGTAGTCGAAACGATGCTGCCTAGCCACATAAGTGAAGGAAGTGACCTCTTTCAAATTTCTCCCATCGACAGTGATTGGTGCTTCTTGTTGTAGGTTGGTTGGTGTAAAGTTGACGAATAAATAAAACAAGGGAGTCAAAGTACATTTAAAAGCTTAACTACCCTATTTATATCTCAAATAGTGAGAATTCTGGTTTCAATCATGATGGAAGTCAGGAGAATAGTAGATTCAAAAAGTAGAGACTTTCATTTACCATAAAATTGAAACAACTAGCCATACAATAGACATCATACAAAAATTAAACTACTTTGAAGGGATAAGTCTATCTAATACCAAATTTCATCTTATCTAAAACATCCATCCATCAATCCAACTGCATCTATCCGTGTATATGATATCCTTCTATGTCAATCAAAACTTCAGAAGACTCCATTCATCATGAGATGCGGCACACGATGTATATATATTCTTTCTGTTATTCTCTATCGAAAACTATATACTGACAGGTTGTGTATTTAGAGTAATTATGAACAGAGAAATACATCTATGTATAGAAAAATTATCGGCATATGAAACAAGAAGTATAATGCGGGGGGGGGGGGTAGGCAATAACACACACAAGGGATTTGTAAAAAGAATACAAAAATAACCAGCTGTCTAAAATAACAGGTATAAAAATTATCAGTTAATGTATATATATGAGAAATGGGTACATTGGCACGTCTGAGCGACTGCTTTCAACATAGAACTTTGCACAAAAGGGCACTAGTTCGACTTGCAACACTCCATGTACCACACAAAGGAAGACAAAAGAGAGAAAACAAAGAGATTCAAAAGAACGATAGTGAACAGAAATATGAGGGAGAAAGAATAGTATTATGAAAAAATATTAGGGTTTTATTGGATATATGGGATTACAAGGA